TCCAGCAATGTCTTATTGTCTTCAGATAAACAGCCCTGTCTGATGTGGAGGTGGGATTCCTGCAAGTCTGACCCCTAGACTTTGCTCGAAAATTAGGATGGGGCAAACTGTCTCACTGGTTGAGGCTGGCTCACATTATACCATAGCACAAATATAAGCTAAGCCTATGCTGGGGTATTCAAACAAAGCAAATTTGGCTTGGGAAAAGCCAGAGCATGGAAAGGGACAAGGAACAGGAGCCAGGTCTCTTAGGCAGATCTTCTCCAGATCTTATCAGCTCTGCTCCAYGGGAATTGCACAGACCTACCCTAGTTTACACCAGCTGAGAGCTGTCCTGTTGGGCACGGGCAGGAACAGCTTCCTGCTCTTTCTGCTACTGGAATTCACTGAGGATTGTCTGCAACACCGCAGCCCACAGCCAAGGAAATGAATGTGATGCCACAAATTTGCTATGATGCTTCACTTCAGGAACAAGCAAAACAGGAGCTGGCAGAGAAAGAACATTTGCTCACACAGACAGCTTTGATATTTAGCCAAAATGGCAAGAAAGTRTATGAAAGACAAGACAAACAAACAGTTTTGGGGATGTCGTGTGTTTTAAAGGTGCCTGCGGTAGGGAAATGTTACTTTTAAAGATACTTCGCTGAAATAATTGCTATAAAGAGCGGCAGTGTGTAATTTATCATGGTTCTGGATTARAGGGATAAACTTCTGATAGGTGAAGATGATTTGGGTGAGTGATGACCTAATGCACCACTAGGTCTCCCTTTCACAGACCARCCTGACAGGTACATGTGTTTGATGTGAGGAGTTGTCCTGTTTCTCAAGCTGTAGCAGGRGGATTAACTGGGGGAATGTGGTGCAATAGAACAATTCCTGCTGCAGTGCATTCTGCAGCTGAGTATCTGAGAGGGAACTGCAAATTTTAGCAAATTAAATGATAYAGTCAACCCTCTTCTTTATGGATGRGGAAAGGAGCAAACAGAAAGCTCAAACCTGCCCAGAGTGTGCTTAGTCAATGCACAGAAGAGGAAGGGAGGGAAAGTAAATCTGATTGCAGGATTATGGAATTGTTTAGGTTGGAAAAGACCTTTAGGGTCATAGAGTCCAACCCCTACCCCAGCACTGCCAAGGCCACCACTGCCCCATGTCTCCAAGCACCACATCCACACGGCTTTGAAACCCCTACAGGGATGGGGTCTCCACCACTGCACCTGCCTCAATGCTTGACCACTCCTTCTGGGAAGAATTCTTCCCAATATCCAACCTAAACCTCCCCTGGCCCAGCCTGAGGCCRTTCCCTCTCCTCCTGTCCCTGTTCCCTGGAGCAGAGCCCGACTCCCCCGGCTGCCCCCTCCTGTCAGGGGTTGTGCAGAGCCACAAAGTCCCCCTGGAGCCTCCTTTGCTCCGGGCTGAGCCCCTTTCCAGCTCCCTCAGCCCCTCCTGGGGCTCCAGACCCTTCCCAGCCCCGTTCCCTGCCCTGGACACGCTCCAGCCCCTCCATGGCTTTCTGCTGCATTCGAGGTGTCACTGCCTTGGTCCTGTGGTGGCCTTCTTGGCCACCTGGGCACACCTGGGCTCATGTTCAGCTGCACCCTCAAGTTCTTTTCTGTCTTTCCAGCCCCTCTTCCCAAGCCTGGAATGTTCCATGGGGTTGTTGTTCCAAGGGYAGGACCCAGCAGTTGGCTTGATGAATCCTATACTACAGCCACAAGATCATTCTTCTCATCCTCACACAAGTGCCATTTAACAAAAAACCTCCTTTCTTCAAAGGGACATTAACCAGTAATGAGTTTGTTAAAAGTTGTTACGAGTTGTGAATCTCAGAAAATAACGTTTTGTAAAAAAAAAGCCATTTAAAAATCAGGGTGGACAGGATAGCAGTATCTTTAATTCTGCTCTGGAATGATTCAATTATGGTAGTGATAAAGCCCAACTGGAATGTGGTGGAGGTGGTGTTTGCTTTGGGCAGCGAGATATTAAACCCCAAAACTGCCAAGTTCAAGAAAATATTGTGTCATGCTTGTTATGGGTCACCAACCAAAGAAAATCGAGAAGAGATCTGAGATAAGATAATGTTGGGGCTGCTTCTGGTATAAAGGATGCCTTCTATTGAAAAAGCTGTTTGTGGAGGAAAAATGAACCTCCCCAAACCTCATGAATCCCATCTCCATTGTGTCATCTGACTGAGGAAAATGCTGGCTTTCCAAAGGGAGAAGATCTGCAGCTGAAATTGTCAGCTCCCAGAGCACGCCTGGCCACCCAGCAGCATCAAATCCCCAGTGYGCATCTCCAGGGGCTCTTCCTTCCTTGGACAGCACTAATGTTCGTGTTTTGGTTAATGTCACAGCTGGAGAGTTTCACTATTGCTCTGAGAATCATTAACCACCTTGTTGTGATTTTTAGCTCTGGTTCCCAGGAGGCCATGCAGTATTGAACAGCTGCTCCTGGCTCYTGCACCCCTCAGGAGGGCCATATTCCAATTTTTGGTTGTTTCTGCTGAGGGCTTTCTGCTAGACCAAAAAAGGGAAGGAGAATGGATCCATTTCCTTGGGAGGGAGGGTTCATTCTCTTCCACAGGCTAAGGACAGAGTCTGGCCAGAATTTCACATGGCTCCTGCCTTTGTTGCATCAGTGCCTTTGCAATATCCTCAATATCCCAGCGCCAGCTCGCTTTGGCAGCCCAAAACCACGGAAAACACCTTTCTGTGAGGCTTTTCTGGTGGTGAATCTTGCTGGTTGAAGGATAATATTTGGTTAAGGAAAAAATAAACATGGAGGAAAAAAGAGGGCTGCTGCTGATTGACAAAATGAATGGAGCCCGGTGGGTCCTCCTGGCAAAGCSTCGTTGAGACACCACAAACTTCAGTTTGCTCTGCTCTTCATGTGGCCAATACTTCCACTGGCTTTGGTTTACGTGTCATATTTTTTTTCCTTAGAAAGTATTTCCTATAATCTAGTTTTCTGCAAAATTTGTCCCTAAATTAAATTATATGCTTCCTTACAACTCGAGTCGCTGCTATTCAAACCCCCTCACCACGAGGAAGATGCGTGCCTGAGTATGTACAGAGCTATATGTTTAGACATCAGCGTGGCTAATTAACAAACACTAATTATTTTCCTAATCTTTTGTTTAAATACCATTAACTGGCTGCTTTTGAGAAAACCTCCATTCCCAATTAACGTGGCAGCTGTCTGCTGAGCACAGAGCCCGGTGACCGGCCCCGAGCCGACACCGATGGGTGTCCTGCTCCCTTCRGAGGAGAAATGCCCATTTTYCTGCCAGCTGAAAATCCRGCCAGACACGCTCTGAGCTTGTTTAAACCATCACAATATCATAAAAATTAAGTATTAAGATTACTGCTAAAATGTTGTTGGGAATTTTTTTTCGACACCAGACACTGCCAGTAAACTGAGTCACAACCGTAATGACAAGTACACACTGACCTAGTTTTGTTTTTTCCCAGTTCTGAAGACAAGGAAATTGTAAGGCACTGCTGACTGTGTTCAGTGATAACTATGACTAAACATTAACCTTTTAGATCCCACATTTATTGATAGGACTCGAGAGTTGGTATCTCCCCTCAGAAAGTGTCAAAGCGTCCTGACAGCACCAAAATGCWGCTCTGAGGTCAGGGAGAGGAGCGGAGGGGAGGGAATGAATCAACCTCTTTGCTCAACAAAAATCTGCTGATCAATTCGAGAAGTCCTGATTCTAGAAGATCGTGTTCACCATCTCACCAGACTGTCTCATACTAAAACCCATTTCAATTTCCAAGCCAGCCAGTGCATCTTGCTGAGCTTGCAGTTGATGCACTATCGCGTAGCAGAAGGCAGCAAAAACCTCCCAGAACTACCAGATTTTAAAAATGCCCCTGGAACCTGTGCAAGTCTCCTGAATAAAGCTTTAAAAACACGGCTTCCCTTGGTCTGAGGAGCGAGCACCTCTTTGCACATCAAGCACTGGCTGCATATAGCATTTAAATAATAAGCTTGAAAAGCACACAGAGGGATTTGCTCTTTCGATTAGATTGATTTTTGTTTGTGGATGTTATTTGGACTCCCTTCACTGTGGAACAAGTCCCCTACAGTTGCCATTAAAGCACTGAAAGCTTCCCTTTTGTTTTTAAATGTCAGTTTGAGCACAGCTTCATTAAATCATTTCACAATTAACTCCCTGAACATCCAGACTTTTTTTTTTAAAGCATCAGACACAGCTGAATTGCATTTGTTTCCCAGAAGAGTGGCTCCAAAGTGGTATCCCCAAGTGTTTATCCAGGAATTCATATATTTGACTTGTGGCTACACAAAATGCATATGGGAGCCGTGTGGGTGGTGGGAGAGGATTAGAGCTTTCTCCCTGGCCCYAAGACATACCAAAACTTGTTGCCTAAAATGCAAGGCGTGAGGGGAAGATGTCTGGGTTAATCTAGGAATATTTATTCCCAAAAGAGYGATAATTGAAGTGAACTGGAAAGGGTTGTTAGTTTAGCCCAGTGTGCATGAGCAGYGATGTTTTTGAGGAGGCTGCCTGGCTTCCATGTGGGATCTGTCCCCTAAAATCTGACTTGAGCWACCAACTCATCATGGAACGGYTTGGGTGGGAAGGGAKCTTAAAAATCACCCMGATCCAACCYCYTGCCGTGGGCAGGGACACCTTCCACCAGATCAGGCTGCTCAGAGCCCCATCCAGCCCRGCCCTGAGCCCTTCCAGGGAKGGGATGTCAACTCGAGTCCTCATGGCAGCAAACAAGACCCCAAAGATCCGAGCTCTGTGTCCCAGCTGAGCCACCAACCTCGGTGTCCCTCTCACACGTGGTTTGTGAAATGCCAACACAGTCAAAAATAAAACTGCAACCTCCAGCTAAGGCTCGCCCTGCTCACASAGAAGCAGCTCAGAATTGTGTCCATGGTGGAGAGCAGAGAGCTCTCCCGTTCCCCRGGATGAGTTCATTCCTCATCCCTGCACAGCCCTTGGATCCCGCTGCGTCTATACTTACTTGGAGAAGTGGGAGAGGTGGCCCCTCCTTCTGTTGATGTGGTTGGAGGTTTTGTGTCTGGCACTGGCAGAGGCACAGGCCTAGCCATTGGTGGCGGAGGTGGTGGTGGCAACATTGGGGTAGGAAGGAATGGATTGTGCACCTTGCCTTGGCTGCTACCATTGGGCTGCCGAGAAACAAGCAAACAGACAAAAAAATTATACTAAAAATCAGAACCTCCAGTAACAACAATCTACTTGAAAACTATGTGCAATACATTTACAATTTACTTGAGAGGCGGCTAAGGAAGTGCTGGCTCAAATTCTCCATGGATCTCAAGGAAATTTTGTCTCAAACTCTGTGAACCTTGTGAAACTATGGAAATTCTGGCTTTTTAACACTTGTCCTATTAACAGCTTGTCTGAACTGTCCTGGATTAAATCCTACCCCTCTTTACAAAATTTCCTGCAGCACTAACCCATGCTCAGGGAGAGGTGAAGCAATATTTTTGACCTCTAAAAGCCCCTGGTCCCGTGCCTCTGTTATACCCTCAGGATATCAGTGCCTGGGCTTGAGTGTAAATTTCTTAAAGATACTGCTCATTAAGAGGAAAAACAAGCGTTTTTGGTGGTCCCAAAAATCATGCTGATATCTTATTACAGGAAAATGAATGAGTGCATATTAAAATAACTGCTCTCCCACATCCCTTTGGAGTTTGCAGTAGTGTAGCCCTCGGTTTAGCTGCCATTRGGATCGTATGGAGAAATGACTGAACTTAGAAAAGCTTCATTTTACACATTGAGAAGAGGGAAAAAAAAAAACCACCCTGCCTTCGGTCTGGGATGTGGTCAGTCACAGGCTGAAGGGGATCAGCTACACGAGTGTGGTCTTTCAATTAATCACCAGAAAAATGTGTCCGTAAGTAGAAGTGTTTTCAAGTATCACAAAAAAACAGGAATCGGGCTTAGAAAAACATGCCGAGCCTCCCCCCAGCTTATTAAGTTTACATTTTAAATGTAACCCAGCCTGGACACTCGAAAACCATACAGAGAGATGCCAAATACCATTAAAAAGAGAAAGTAGGACAGGCTGTGAATCAGGTGTTCCATTTTAGTGACAAAAAATGATGAGATCATTTTCGACAGCACTCTACAAATTGATCTCACTGCAGTTCTTCTGGCACTGAACATTGGCTTTTCCATTGATGATAAAAGCTCAGCTTTAAACACGGATCCATATTCTAAGTACCGCYAAAGAAAATAATATTTTAATTCCTGTTGGGGTTCCCATGAGCCTGAATCGCTGGGGACAAAACACTCGTACCAGGAAAAATGCTTGGGATGGGTTTTTATTTTTGTTTCACCTGCTCTGGCACTGGCAAAAGGCCTTAAAGTCGTGGAGGTGCAAAAATGGTTCAGGGGGATAAATAAGACTCATCTGCATTCAACTTAACAGCACTCCCACGGACTTCAAAGCYTGCAGTTAGCAGCGTTTGCAGCAAGGAGCAATCCTTCAGGGATATTTATYTTTCCAACATCCAGCACCTTTAATAAACTAATATGTTAGTGACATCTCTCAAACACTATCTTGTCTCCCAATTAGGTCCCTTTCCTGCCAAGCAGACCCCCGCTGCCTGTTCATTGTGAGTGTGCTAACAGTTCATAATGCTGAATGGTTTGGGATAAATTAAGCAAATGAATACTCAAGGAAAAAAGAAAAGCACTGTATTGATTTGTTGTCTAGACATAAATGTATCTGCTAACATATTGCAGACATTATTCAAAGCCAGGACTGGCTGGAATAAGTAGAGCCAGTTTTTCTGCTGGGGAAAGGAAAACACTGAGAACAATACAGCTTATTAAATAAGTGTAATAAATTAGATGCTAATAATTAAACTAATTCTCATTAACACTTTCAGCCRTGTGTATGTCAGGAGAGAAGCAGTAATTTTGCCAGTTATTACTTCATTGGCTGGAAAAAGTTACACGCATTACATTTCATGAAATATTCAGAGCATTATTTTAGATTTGATTTACATAAAATTTATAAATTCTCTATTTGACCAGAATGCTATTTCAATAATAGCAAGATGATTCACTTTATTTGATTAAAAAAAAATGAAAATGGTTATTTGAAGCTTTGGAACTCTGCTTAATTTTTCATAGAGATAAGGGGAAAAGATAACTGCTTACAGAAATAACAAACCATAATAAACTGTACTTTTAACATCTTGAGTTCAAGTACTGGTCAACTTGATCTAAAGTGCTATAAGGCAGTATTTTTTTTTTTTTTTAATGAACTTAGCTGATCTGAAACATCTGTTTCTCACCCTCCCTTTTCCTGCTCCTTCCTCCCCCCCCCCACTCTGAACTTCAAAAATAATTAATAAAAATTATTCTGCCTTCGTATTTTGTTAACCCTGGTTCCACAAGGGTTACAACACATGCAGCAAAGTCATTTGTGGGGGGACCCAGCAGGTCACTGAAGCACCAGCTCCTCTGACAGCTTAAGCCACTTCCACCTCAATTGTGGTCGAGTGGTTTTTTGGGGAGGCCTCTTGTTGTTCTTTAAAATACTTTTGCAGCACAGCATGATTATTATTATTATTATTATTATTATTATTTATTTTTTTCCCCTCTCCCTTCCAGCAGCTATTCAAGGTGTGCCCCTGCGGGCGACATGCTGTTAAAATAACCCCCTCGATAACCCCGTGGTTAATTTTTTTTACAAAGGACAAACACTTCTGAAGAAAGAAAAACGGCTTCCTTACATTTAGGAACCCCACCTGTCCAGCCTGCTGACCAGCGTCGGGGCAGACAAGTTGGACAAACTCTTTCAGAGTCTCCTGAGGATGATAGCGGATTGCTGGGTGTGAGAAGTATGGCCCAGGCTGTTGAATAATGGGTGATGTTGGAAAATGAAGAGTCGATGGTGTTGCATGTGGACTTGCTATAGGAAAGAAAACAAAGACGTTATATAGAGTTTTGCCTCTGGAAAATAAAACAGTTTAAATCTGTTGTAGTTTTTTAAGTAATTTTTTTTTTGTTTGCTTGTTTTTAAATGTACAGTATTGTGTATACATCAGTTAATATATTAGACCACATTGTACCCTACGCTCACTTCATCTGATCCTGGAAGCAAACAGAGCCAGACATTTTGAAGGATTTTCTGTGTTTTTGGTGGACACATATAAAGGAATCAGCAGTCCTTTGTGAGAGTGAAAAACTATTCATCACCTTAAGAGCAGCCCTCATCAATCAGCAATAAAAAAAAATGTATTTGGGAGATTAGGGTTGATTTAATTGACATTTCATGTAACTTGGATTTGCACATATGAATCCATTTTATATTGTAGTATAAACAGTCGATAATTTTAAAATGGTCTAACACTTCTTGTTGTTGGGTTTTTTTTTTTCCATCTCACTTTAAGAACATTTATTTTAAGCACTGTGTTTTCGTTTAACGAACATGCACGAAGTGGAGAGATCGTTGGGAAAATTACATTTACATTTGTCCTGAACAAGCTGGGCTCGGATCTTCAGCAAGCCCCCAGCTCGGGCTCGGGGATGAAGTTTAATTTGGTGAATTTATGGGCCAACAAGCCAGCTGGAAAATGCACTCCAGAGAAGGTGCAGAGGTGTGATGTGCACAAGCCCATTGGCAATGACCGATTTCACCCTCAGCTGATTTCAGCAGAACTACAAGCGCGGCTCAGGAGCCTTTTGCTCTCCTACATTATGTGACACCTTTGCCCAGTTCCTTGGCCTTTTAAATATAWTGGGTGGGACCCTTGTCACCCAACAGTGCTCTTTCCATTGTTGTCACCACGAGGCACCAGTGCTGCCATGAATTCTCCCCTCGAAAACGAGGACTCGCTCTTCCTTCAGAATGACCCATCAATCTGGGTGCACACGAGCTCGTCTGTAAATCTGTGCTCATTTCCCACCAAGCACTCCTTGCTGCTCCCTTGGCATGTCATCCTAGGAATCTTTCAGGGGTGTCCTGAAGGTTTCAGGAATTCAAAGGTTTTCAGGTTTCGTGCGTAGATTGTGCTCGTGCACTGCATGTGACCAATTACATAAAGGCTTTACGAGGGAGGGGATATCCTGCAGAAACTCAGGTGTTGGCTTGGAAAGAACTTAAATACACAGGAGGGGAAAAAATAAAAAAAAGCCTTTGGCACTTTTGGAAAAATTGGAGAGATGCAGGAAAGTTAACTAAAATCAAACACAAATGAGCAAACATTCATTTCATGATGAATGTTATGAAAAACCTTCGGTTAAATAAAAGCTAAAATCTGCCTCTTACTCTTGTTCATTGCCAGTTTAATAATATGACACTTTATTAATAATTTTCTTTTTCTTAAGCATTGTTAAACCATTAGCAAACTCAAGAGCCTGAAGATGTGGATAAAACATGAACTTGGAGACAGCAGCAAGGAAACCACTGCATTTTCCTGTAAGGATTCATTAGGCTTGGCTGGGCAGCTCTTCGGTACACGTCCCTTTCCACCACAGGACAGGAATTATTGCTCTGACACCACCACCAAAAAGAGCTGCACTCGTGCCTGGGGTGCTGGTATGGGATGGATGTGAAACCCCATGAAAAGCTCCCCTCTATCCACGTTCACCCCACAATTCTCATCCCCTTAATGCTGCTGACAATATTCCCAACAGAAACACAAATGTGGTACTAGAGGGGAAAACACCACAGGAAAAAAGCGTGGAGATGAGGAGTTTTTACAAACCTTGCTAATTATTTTCTATTCACTTTTAAGACCAAGAGTTTTGKTGTGAGTTTGCATCTTAAATCACAGTGTATCTGAAAACTCTTCAGAGAAAGAACCCAAATCTTCAAAGGAAGCAATGAAGGCTGGTTTTCCTGTCTCCAATTCCCTGGGAAAGGCTGTAACTTTGAAATGGGGTACCAAAGGCAGAGATAATGGGGAATTCTCTGCTGTAATTGTGGGTGATCACCACGGAGTTGATCATTAGAATGGACAGAGTACTAAACCGTGTCCAAGGAGCYGTTCAGCTAATCCCAAAATCATCCCCTGCCTTTCACTGGTGCTGCTCTGAGGTTGACACCTGCATTTTACAGACACACCTTTGGTCAGGTGAATACCACCCAGCTGGTATTTTGATGATTACAACATWTTTTTTATTATCAGACAATATTTTTGCGTTCCTCTCTTCCTTCATATCTCCTTTCGTGGTTCCCCCTTTTTCCTTGTGTGCCAGATGGAATATGAAGGATGAAAGTAAAAGTGAGAAATGGACATTTAGGTGGCAAACATCTAATTAAGTCAGAAATAAATCGGAATTTCTAAAATATTAAAAAAAATATTTCCTTTTAGAATCAGCTCTTTTAATACTATTTGACATCGTTACAGAACTGCACTGTCCTTTGCACRCATCTGGGAACAAACTCATTTCTATTCCTCTGCTGGGTGAAAAGGAGATTGAAATGCATTTCAAACAAGAAGGAATAAAGAAATGTATCCAGGGAACAYGTGGGAATTCAAAGCTAGGCCTGAGACAACATTGTATTTAGCTTTTCCAAAGTATGGCTCTTCATTTAATAATTTGATTTGCTCCACGAAAGATGAAAGAAATATTCATTGGCATGTAAGGAGCGAGCCTTTCTCTGCTGCCTTGACCTCCTCAGCATGTCAGGGCAGAAAACAAAGTGGAAAGCGTGTGTCAGTGATCTTCCCAAAGAGGGAGAGAAGGAAAATGAATGCAGAAACGATCAACAATAATTCAGCAAAGTGCTGCAAGGAGAAAGTGGTTCCTCTTCGGAGCCCTGGCCAACCCCTCAGCTCATCTCCAAGGGCTTCCTGCTGATCTGGGAAAGACTGGGGGAGGGAAACAGGACCAAACTGGCATCAATCCTCGCTCTGTGCCTTCCACTGATGTGCAGGGGCCATTTCCCTCTCAGTGTAAGAAGTTATGAGTGCAATAAGGATCTCCAAAGGTTTGTTTTCGCAGTCTCTGACCTAGGAAACGGCGAATTTCTCAAGTGCCAAAAGAAAGGGCTCCTTGAGAAGAGGAAAAAACCACTGCTGTTAAACTGATCAGCATTACAAATGTTCCTGCCTGATACTAGAGAGAGGGAATTAAAAGTTAAAAGTCTAAAATCTGCTGGCCCAGACACAGACCATTACTCTGATAGCTGTGTTGTGGTCAGCAACTCTGGCGAGTGCAAAAGTGGCCACTCCAACAAGTTCTGAGWGCAGAACACAACTGTGATTCCAAACAGAGGGACCCTCACAAGCATTTGTAATCAGTTAAAACAAAGAGCTAATGAAGCAGGTCGTTATTTCCCCTGTTTGCCTCTAAAAAGGCCAAGGGCCCTTTCAGTCATGATTTTCAGACTTCATAAAAATGATGAAGTCTTTAACTCCCAAACCCACACCTACGGTGATGGAAATTAGCCCATGTAAGAGAACAGGCTCTTATTACTTCTGATGGGGTATTACAAGTCTCAATCAGCGACTGTAAATTCTTTGAGATCTTCAAATGGAAGATAAAATAGGTCTTTGTCTATTATTTATTTACTTATTGACTTATTATTTATGTATCCCTAAGCAGCTCCATCCTGCCAAACCATATTTCTCCTGGCGTCTTTCAGCCTGTGACATTTATATTTTATTATTGACCTCAGTAAATGACATAAAATATGACTTCTACAACCTATGAAAAGATGTGTGCTCAAGATCAGAACTTCATTTCTACCTGCTGTAGGTAYGGAGGAGTCRAACTCCCCGGCGTTATGAAATCTGTGATTTTGTGTGGGGGTTGGAGGCAGRAGTTATCCTTCCATCTCCAGGCGAGCATAAATATTTCAAAGCACACATGATTCTAATTCCATTGGAGCTCGCCTGAAACATCCCAGACTTTTTATTGGAAATGAGATGATAATGTATGGTGGCCTGCAACAGATATACCAGTATTTTAAACCCACTGCTATTGGGCCAAGTGATTATGCAGTGCAGCTGTTGAGTGCTGCACTGGATTCCTCCGTGCTTTATGAGCTGGGGGTGCTGTGCAGCACAGAAGTCAGGGGGKTTTTTGGAACTCTGAATTCAAAACTCTGATTATTCAGGTCTGTCTTGCCTTCCCCCTTCTTGATTTGTGCAGCCAATAACAAAGAGGCGACCACTAAAATCAGCTGTGCCCATTGATCAGGTGAGCACTCACGGCCGAGGCTCTGAAGAAGAGCCAAAATTGTGAWTTCTGTCCGAGCAAGAACAGATAGKAAAGAATCAGTTAATTTGAAGCAGGTTATGGYTTTCTTCAGATATTCAGAATCCTGGAACAAAGCAGCAGTTGCAAATAAAGAGGCCTGGGATCCCTGCTCTCTCGCTGACAGGGTGAAGGGACACCCAAAGAACTCAGACAGGTTTTCCACCRGCACAGCCCAACAGATGGGACATCTATTGATCCTTTCACCTTCCACCTCCTCTTCCAAAAACAGCCCTGCCAACCCCTCCAAGTCCACGTGACTGGATGAAATTCCTTTCTTCCTGCAGTCTTTTGAAGTCTTTGAGAGGGTCATTTGGYGTTACTCAGGAAAAGGTGTCATCACCCTGGACTCCCTGCCTGTTCCAAGGAGAAGTTTCGGGAATCAAAATTGCTGCTCCTCCACAAGGGCTGGTCCATCAGCTGGACCAGGGCACAATGCTCAGATATCTCCTCTATAAAGCGATAATTAAGTTTACTAATACTTCATTAAACATTGATCAGCCTTCCTAGAAATAGCAACATTAGAATCATAATGAAACGGGATCTCTCTTTTTTTCTTTTTTTTTTGCATCCGCTTGTTTTTGAGGCCATCGTAATTGGCTTCATTACAATTAAGAAAGTATTTTTTGAAAAGTCATTTCCCTGGAAATGCTAGGGAACAGTTTGTTCTGCTGGCGACTTCCACGTCAGGCTGCAGAGTGG